CATCCGCCATTTTGGGTGGGTGTTTCAGTCTTCAAATGCAAGGGAACTTGTCCGTCTAACGAATGCAATGTGTTGAATGGCTTCCCATTAAACATGGCGCTGTTTCCGTCATTTTGGGTGGGTTTTTTAACTTCAATGATGTGAGTGGGAACCCATCTAAGATGGCGGTCAGCTGCTACGTCATTTCTTCCTTCAGTCGTGTAGATCAGGGATTTCCAAAGTGTGGTGCGTGCGCGAGCTGCCGCTAGGGGGTGCACGAGGTGAAAAGTGTAATGGCTGCAGAGCTCAGAGAATTCTGTCAAAAGTCACCATTAGCGTAGCCAGAAACTCATTTGTGGGTGGTAGGGATCATGATAAAGATCTATTGGAGATCTAACCCAACTTTTGGACTGCTCTGCCAGTCACTGTGGCTCAAGCTGAGAGGAGCTTTTCAAAACTTGATCAAGTCATACCTGAGGTCACCTATGTTTCAGGGGTGGCTGACTAACCTGGCTCTGATTAGTATCAATCACTCAGTAGGGGAGCAGATTTCATATGATGACATTATTGATGACTTTGCATCAAGGTTAGGTTTTAATTTTAGTTTGTGTTTTCTGTTCTAAGTGCAATGCTGTAGTGATTATCTTTAGTTTGTTATGTGTGAAATAATTTTGCTATTTAGTAGGGCTGCACGATATTAGGGAAACCTGCGATATTCGATAACAGTGCTTAATTTTGCAATACCGATATTACTCACGATAAGTGAACAAATACTAAAGTATGCAGTGTTGATGTCGTCTGGTGTGTGACGTTTGCTCTGGGTTCAAAGCAAACAAAAACTAATGCATGAATTCCATTACAACATAACATTTTTATTGAAAAAATATGCAGCTGCACCTGCTACTGTATTAGCAGCAAAACAACAAACTGCATGCAGGCAGTTTCTCAGTGACTTTAAAACATCACCTCCACCATAAAACTTTTTTTGATGCTCCAAATACAGGAAAACATCCCTTACCAGGGTTTTTGAATAAATAAAAAAAAACCAACAGAAAATAAGTTTAAATGTTAAATAATAGTTAACATCACTTGAATGCAACAGCAAATTCTCTCATTGCTACTGAACATTTTCTCCACTTATGTGGTTATGATATAAGGCTGTTGCTGTAATTGGGAAGTGAACTGTGCTGGGCCAAACGAGGAGAATATTAAGATTTTCTGAGGGAAAGAGAAAAACAATTGTCTACCTTTCAGAAGAGGAACTGGCAAAAAACTACATGGAAAATATGTGAAAACGTTTGTTTTTAACCCCAAATTGAACAAGTTTACCTAGATCTCAAAAAGCAGCTCAGATGATGAAACTGCAGCTATGATTCTGATAACAAGCTAACAAATTGAACTAGCTCCTCTAAGATAACCGGCTAGCAGAGCTTCTGACTGACAGTGTATGTGCAGCAGCAAATCAACTATCCTGATTAACAAGGTTATAAAAGCTCATAAATGAAAAATCACTTTGATGTGTGGGGGAACTTTTCCAGGCCCTCTTTAGCAGGGTGGGACTGGGAGGAGAGTGCTGTAGCCTTTTAGCTGGAAGCTAACTGGAGCCTGGGGCTAACAGTGGGTTGGTTCACAGGCACGTGTCGGAGTCAACCCCGTTATTATCAGCTGCTTAATGACACCGAGCAGACTCACGTTCACGTTTGAAAGCAGCGCTGATTCCAGAAACCTCAGCACAAAGTGAGTTCGTTAATCTGAGCCAGCATGACGAACAAGGGAAGCGAGCGGCAGTGGAAAGCAGGGGGCAGAGCAGAGATAGTGGAATTTTGGGGTAAGGGTCTATGTAGGGGGCGGGCGTATTACGTGAACGGACCCGTCTGATTGGCTGCATATCAGAAGGGCTACATTTGATTGGTCAAATAATACTTCCGCTTAAAAAACAGAGTTGGTTTACAAAAAGTTGATGTATGACACGGATACCTGTTCTGTTTTCTTGTGAAAATAGATAAAATTAAACTTGATTAACACCAGAGGCAGGCGCACTGCGCCATTATCTCTGTCACTATAAATGAGGGAAAAATAAAATGATCGGATCCTTTTGTGACCTTCCCCACCTACAAAGTTTAATTACAACAATCAAACGTGACAGAGCCTGGATTTGTATTCTGAAGTCTAAACATGTTTTAAAAAGAAACGTATGACAAAAGTGGCACCTGCTCAGTAAAACCACCAACAGGGTGGAAAATATCAAAATATTGTAGGCAGAGACGGGCTACAGCTTCTGGATCCACTTTATATAAATCGTTTTATTGATTATCATCTTATGAAAGAGAGCTTTGACGTACACGAGCGACTGGTACCGGCTGTTGTCACCTGTTGTGAGCAGCGCTCTGCTGTCTGACGGTTTTGTGTTCTGGGGCAGCGGCTGGATCTCTGGGACTTGGAGCTCTCTTAGTCTCCTACACATCTTTGGGGGCAGATCTGTGGCCCCTCACGCTCTCTATTGGATGCTTTTATAGAGAAATCTTACATAAACAAGCGCGTGTACACACACAAGTGCTCACACGGTGCTCTCATAAGTATGGGGTTGGGCACGTTCCACACATGTCTTAATGCTGTCGTTGCCACTAAATGCACTATGATTTATTATTATCGTGTGATTGTATTTCTTCAAGTTGACACAGTGATAGCTTGCTCCTGTTGTGTTGTTGTGTGTCCCATTTTTTCTCTCTCTTTCTGCAGGCCTAGAAGCAGACTCTTGTTCATTATTGTTTATTTTTGTGGACCCCCCCACCCCCTTTTCTCCCCCCACCTTTTGTCTTTGTCTTTATCTTTCACCTCTGATTCCGTGTCTGGTCGGAATGACAAATTATTCAAAAGCAATAAAGTTTAAAGTATCAGACGTGACATTAGCTTTGATGCTCCACCTGAGAGTAAATCTGTAAGGCTTTTCACCAACATTCAGACATCAATTCTGTTTGCTTCACAGCCAGACGGGACACGGGGAAAAAATTATAATAAAAATAATGTAATATTGTGAGTTTATTTTTAGTCATGCGAAGTTTAATGTAGAAATAAGTAAAACGTTATTAAAAGTTACAGTACTTAAAGCTAAACTGAGATTAAGTAAAATAATGTAAATACCATAAGACTATTCAAAAGTTTGACTGATAACAATGGGGTGTTTAAACTATTAAAGTTGCATTGTTTAAGACTAAATTAAAAAATATGTTGTGACTGAATATTTCATACAATGCAGTTATAAATAAATGTTTTTTAGTACATGTATTGCTGACTATTTAAATTAGTCTAACCATTCTATATAAAATACAGCAGGTGTATGTGCACTTTCATAAGTGCAAGTAAGTACTAATCAAACTTGACATTTAATAACTTTTGATATTTTTAAACAATAGTTTGAAATTTAGCATGATTTAAAACTTCATTCTTGGGGTTTGATTAGATATTTTCATTTTTATATTATGATTCCTTGTTCAGGGGTTATCAGTAAAGTAGTAATAATTATGTTAATGTATTTTGTCATAGATGTCACACACAAGTAATTAATTTTTATCCTTTAAATTAGATTATACTGTGATTAACTCATTTAAAGAGCAAGTTGCCCCCAAATCAACTTTTTTTCTGATAAACTATATAAATGTGTGTCTAATCGTGCTACAGAAATGCGCAGTCAATAGTTTTGCACTTTAGTGCATTTTAGTTAAGATTTTAATTTTCTGCCTAAAACTGTCAGTGTTGTGCCGTTGTCAGATAAAAACTCTGCACTGCATTTTAATTTAAATCTGTCATAGCTATTGGCTAAGAGGTACACAGTGATGTTAGATGGTACATTATGATGTCACAATGTTGTGAGTGTGTGTATTTGTTTGTGGCTCCACACTCTCGGTTTGCTAGACAACAGCATTTGTTGCATTTTTCAAACAGGAAGTGGGAGTTGAGTAAGAATCTGGTCATGGGTGACTTGCTCTTTAAAATTTAGGATTGTTTTTACATTTATATAAGTTTAGCAAATTGATGGTTGCATAAGATTCTAAAAGGTGTGAGTGAGTGAGTCTAATTCTGTCTTTACTGAGTACAGACACATGATAACATAGAAATCCATACTGTTTGTGTTGCTTTTCTAATAGTGCTGTCATGTATTTTATGTTTCAAACAGCATTCACTATGCCTGGCAAAGAGTCCAAACGCAAGGCGGATGCTGCTAAGCGCAGCAATCGTCCAGCTCCGCCTATTCGTATCGGGATTCCAAGGCACAGCAACGATGATGTTAATTGTATGTATTGCAGTATTATTTCGCAGAACAAATTATTGTAGTGTTTTGCAATTCATTTAATCTATACTGTATTTATGTAAGATGAAAAATTATTAGCCAAAAAGATTGTTAATTTTTGTGTGTGTTTTTGTTTTGTAAGTTTCTGGAACTGGCTTTCGTCATCGAGTTCGTCGTTGGCGGACCAGTGTGATTTCTAACAAAGCTCACAAGTTGGTCCTTCCAGATGAGATTCCTGAGAAGAAAGTGAGTGTAATGTCCACAAATATTTAAAATATAAATATAGATTTTCTTCCAATACTATCTAGCAGTACTCTGGGATTCTAAGGAAACGGTCAGATGGTGTTGAAGCCGCTATCAGTTACAGTGCTGCAAACAGACTGAATCGGCTTCTTTTTGACTTGTGCCTCAAGTCTACCAACTTTTGAATCTTGATAGAAAACCTAGTTGTGTTCATCTTCCTTTTTAGTCGGTGCTCCTCAATCTGTGATTTAGAACTTAAGCTGCTCAGTTATTTTTACATATCTGTATTTGTATTTATGTTGGTGTATTCTGTGATTAGTTTTACCATTTCATGTTTTATTGTTTGTAAACTTTGACTGTTTAATGTGATCTCTTTCTTCCTGTAAAGCATATTGCATTGCCGTTTGTATGAAATGTCATAAACATACAGATTGTTTTATATTGAAATGTATTTATTAATTTTTCTAATTTAGTTCGTCCTACTTGTTGGGGACTCCCACTTGAGGTCCGTGGCAGACGGCATAGTCCCTATGCCGGTTGGTGGCCTCGCTTTTGGTGTGATGTCCACTCCAGGAGCTTGTGCAGATCTTCTGCGCCTTGAGGTTTCACAAGCTGTGTTACCTCGGGAGCCTGATGCTGTTTGTGTCATGGCTCCTTCTAACAACCTTACGGCCAGCAGAACAGTTGAAGAGGCAGGGGATGCATTTGAGCGGTACCTTTTGGCTGTTCTCAGTCGCTGGCCTAAGGTGAGAGGCTGATTCGTGTAATTTTGAAGGTATGAGAGATGACAGTAAACGTACATCCTTAAAAATAATTGTATTCTTTCTTCTTTTTTTTTTTTTTGTAGGTTTTCTGTACCGCCATGATTCCCCGTTTAGTTGGATCGTGGGAGCGTCAAGACCTGTTTCAGCAGGAGTACCACCGCAGATCGGCTAAGCTAGGTAAGTTGCAACATAATTAGATCAAAAGGTAGTATTAACGACAAGCGTTATTGCTATTTACTCTTAGGTATCAAACAATCACAATTTATAACTTTACATGAATTTTTTCCTTCTGCTTCGAAGGTGTAAGTTATGTGCCGATCCACGATCACCTACCCAGGTACCGTCTTAAACTGTGGTGCCGTGATGGTGTAAGTATATTGCTTGGAAGAAAACAAGGTAAAGGTTCTTAAATTTGAGATGATAAATTTGTATTTTCTTTTGTTCGTGTTTGTGGTTGCAGATCCACCTCAGTGATAATCACGGGATGCCTATACTCACGCAACTGATGTGGAATGCCTCCTATCAGTTCTTGGAGACACACGCACCAAAGCCACTGGTGCAGCACCAGGTGTCTCGTCCGCAGAAAGCGAGTATTGTGCCCCGTGTGGTTGTGAAGGGTGTGGAACGCATTCCACCTCCACGCCCTTCCGAATGGACGTTTGTGAGACCTAGCGGGAAGGTGAGAGACTTTATAAAGTATTGTAAAATGTTTATAATTTTAGGCAACTGTGCCAGTAATGCTTCTAAATGTGTTTTCTTTTATTTACCATTGCAGAGGAACCATTCAGGGGAATTTGAAAAGACTTCTAATTCCCCCAAGAAACGAGTGGTTGTTTCTAAGGTTTGTGAATGTTTTTGATTGATCTTTTTCAAAGAATTTTGATTAGATGATAATATGTGGTGAATTTTCTTCAATAGGCTGATGACACTTCAGTGGCCTTGAAGGAGTGTTTCATCCCCCTGAATCCCGTTAGGTTCTCACCTTCAATTCTGGCTGCCATGGACACGATTGCTCCAGCGGATGGTCCCACAGATATACAGGTAGCTTTAAAGCAAAAGTTTATTATCTTTTAATGTAAAGTGTAATGTTGTTCCTGGTGCTTGTAATATGGGCTGTCTGTATGGTATATTTGAAAGTATTGTACTTAACCGTATTACTTTCTGTTTGTAGACTACATCTGTGCGACATTTTAAGAAAGCAGCTAGGCGTGTCCAGCAGGAGGTTGATTCATTAAATTATCTGGCATACAAATACATTGTGGTGTTATTTTTCTTCACCGTTGTTGTTCTTTAATTATAGGTTGCATCCACACCTTGCATAAATCCTCTTGCAGACGTGGAGTCTGTTCGGTCTAGGAAGGAGGTAAGAAGCGTGTGTTTCAAACATAAAAACTAAACTAATCTTTATTGACGATGTATTGACCTTTAATTTCTTCTGTATAGGTGTTGGACTGTGACCAGCTGCCTTCACCCCACCATCAGGAGGCATCTGGTTGTCCTGGGTCTGTCTCTGGGTCTGTTGCTGCCCATGCTGTGATGCTTCCTTCTGGCCATCATGCGCATGCATCACCCAGAGGTCAGTCTGCTAACACCCCTTCTTGCGTGCGTTCACAGGTTTTGCTGTCGTCTCTAGTTCCAGAGACAACTGTTCAAAATCCTGTTGTAAATAATTTTGATAAAGATAAAACAATTTTACACAACGATGATACAATTTTAGACTCTGTCCTAGGATCATTTCATCAGGGCGATGGGCGTTTTAAATATGGGGGAGTTCAGTGTGCAGCTATTACTGTTGTTGCTTTAACAAAGCACAAACAGAAGAGTGTTTTCTCTTGGGATTTTGCCGTGTTGGATAACGTTGTTGAGTTAGGAGATGAGCTGTACACAGATTTGCGCGACAACAAGAAGATTAGAGGTGGACATGAGTTTCTCTCTGTTCCAGACTTGCCAAAGGAAATTGACATGGAAGAACAGAGCTTTAAGCTTGTTTACGGGGATTTCGTTTTAGGAGATGTAGATGTAGCTGAAGGCGAGTTAATAGATGCTGGTGTGTACACTCCTCTCCTGGATGGATTGAAGAAGATGTGCACACAGCATGAAACTTGCATTATGACATTAAGTGGCAATACTTGTGCTATCATTTGTGATAATGGACGTTATGCTGTAGTAGATTCCCATGCACGCTCCGCAGACGGCATGGTAGACCCGACAGGACAGAGTGTAGTTCTGTACTTTGCGAACCTTGATAATGTTTTTCAACATTTTCAGAGATTTGCTAGTGAACTGGTGGGATCTCAGAGGTTATTTGAGATCACTGGAGTGGATATTGTTCAGATGGACACATTTAAACATGTATCTGAACAAACAGATGACATTGACATAAACCCTGTTGTTTTTGTTAGTGATGCTAGTACTAAAGATTTTCATTTCAGTCCCGTTTCTAGAGACGTGTCACAGGCGTTGAGTAAATGTCTGAATGTGAAGTCTGCGATGGTTGATGAATCATCTCCTGTTCCTTCATGTAGCACAAGTGTGGTTAACGTTGATGATGACAACAGTATTGTAAACAATTATACAATTTTAAGCTCGCTTACAGGATCATTTAATCAGAGCGATGGGCGTTTTAAATATGGCGGCGTTCAGTGTGCAGCAATTAGTCTTGTTGCTTTAACTAAGCACAACATACAAAGTGTTTTTTCATGGGATGTTGCCATGTTAGACAATGTTGTTGTTTTGGGCGATGAGCTGTACACACATTTACGTGACAGTAATCTAATAAGTGCTGGGAATGTGTTTCTTTCTGTTCCAGAATTGCCAAAGGAAATCGTTATGGGCAAACAGACTTTTAAGTTGAATTATGGCGATTTTGTTTGTGGAAATGTAGATATCGTTGAAGGCGAACTTATAAATGCTGGAGTGTACACTAGTCTTTGGGATGGTTTGAATAAGATGTGTACACAATATGAAACATGTTTTATTACACTTGGAGACAATACTTGCGCTTTACTTAGTGAAGATGGACATTATGCTATTGTTGATTCACATGCTCGTTCTGCAGATGGAATGGTTGACCCAAACGGTAAAAGTGTAATTCTATACTTTAGTAGTCTTGACAATGTTTTTAGATATATTCTGAGGTTTGCCAGTAAATTAAATGGAACTCAGATGTTGTTTGAGATCAGTGGAGTTAACATTGTTCAGATGGACACATTTAAAAATGTTTCTAAACAAACAAGGTTGGCTCCAACAACAGGAAAGGAGGTTAGGCGTGAAGAGTCATTTCCACTCTCAGAACCAAAAAAGTTACAGACAGATGACATTGACATAAACCCTGTTGTTTTTGTTAGTGATGTTAGCACTAAAGATTTTCATTTCAATCCCATTTCTAGAGACGTGTCACAGGTTTTAAGTAAACGTCTGAATGTGAAGTCGGCAATGGTTGATGAATCATCTCGTGTGATTGGTGAATTGGGTGTACCATGCATGAATAAATCAATAGTGGCAGATGGAAACTGTTTTTTTAGAGCACTTAGTCAAGCTGTTTATAGCACCCAGGAATATCATAGAAAAATCCGTCTTGCTTTGGTCAATCAGTTAAAAAAGAATCCTCAAATGTATCAAACCATTTTAAGAAGTGAGTATTCCTCAGTTTCGCAGTACCTCACCTCATCCAGGATGCAATACGTTGGCAGTTGGGCAACTGAAGTGGAAATTCAAGCTGCTTCTGATTATTTTGGCATTAACATATTTACCTACTATAATGATAAATGGCTTAAATACACTTCCAACAGCAACTTTTCACAGCAGGCTGTTTATTTGGAGAATATTAATGGTAACCATTATGAGACAGTGGTTTGTGTAAAACAACCTAACACAGAAACTTGTTATGGTTATTGTGGCCCTGTAGATGGTGTTTCTGGGAGATACAATACTCGACATGCCGCTACAGAACATTTAAAATGTTCAGTAGAAACTGTGACACTTGAGCCGAGTTCCATAGATACAGATGGTGTTAGTGTTGTTCATTCAAATACTTTATTTACTCCTATGTCTGTAGATTTCTGTAAAACTCTGTGTAATCGGTTGAAAATAGATTTTGAGAAACACAATTCTCAAGAATCCACATCAGGTGGGCCTTTAGGAAATGTGTGTAAGACAGAACATATTATTGAAGATGGTAACAGTTTTTTTAGAGCTGTAGCTCATGTAATTAGTGGGTCACAGAAGGGCCATCGTAAGATCAGACTCGCTGTTGTTTCTTTTATGTCCAAAAATGTTGAAGAGTGTGAGAACTTTCTGGGAAAAGAACATGCTTCTGTGTCAGAATACATAAAAAACTCACAGATGAATTATGTCGGTCACTGTGCTACAGAAGTAGAATTTAGAACTACAGCCAGTGTTTTAGGAATACCCATATTTATCAACAGTGGCACAGAGTGGGTCAAATATAGTTCTCAAACTGGTAATTTTGTCACTGAGGGACTATATTTGTCAAACTGTAATAATCATTTTGAACCCGTTCTTTGCATAAGACTGGGTAATAAAGAAACATGTTTTGGGTTTTGTAAAGTTGATTCTTTGTCAGACAACGTAAACAAATGCAGAAGGTCAACTTTGATGCAGTTAAATGCTGACCCAAACATGGAAAAGGTAAAAACGAGGAAGAGTTTTTCCAGATATTTAAAGCAAAATAAGGCTTATGCAGAAGCCTCTAATTATAAAACGATAAGTGCAGTTAAAGACAAAATAAAAAGTCAGAAGAAAAATGCATACAAGGAAAATGTTGCTTACAGAATTAAAAAGATCAGTACGACCAAATTTAAATACAAATTTCTTCTTGCACATAAAGAGAACGTTAAACGGAGAGCCAAACATAGGGCCATTTTCAACTACCATCATAATTTGGCTTACAAAGAGAAAGTTAAACATAGGGCCAAACATAAGGCTATTTTCAACTACCATCATAATTTGGCTTACAAAGAGAAAGTTAAGCATAGGGCCAAACATAAGGCTATTTTCAATTACCATCATAATTTGGCTTACAAAGAGAAAGTTAAGCATAGGGCCAAACATAAGGCTATTTTCAACTACCATCGTAATTTGGCTTACAAAGAGAAAGTTAAACATAGGGCCAAACATAGGGCCATTTTCAACTATCGTCATAACTTGGCTTATCGAAACAAAAAGAAAGAGTTGAGTGGAAAGAAATACCTTAATATTGAGCATAAAACTTGTTTAATAGAAAGTATCCAGCGTAAAAGAAAGCTGTTTAAAGTAAATGCACAAAACTTTGATTTTGTTGTAGATCAATTTTTAGAGAAAGTGAAAGATGGACCTGATTTTGTGTGTTGTGTCTGCTCACGATTGTTGTTTAGACATCAGGTCTTAAATTGTAATCAAGAATACTATAGAAAAACCAAAGAAATGTCTCTTATAGCAGATAAATGTATAAGTGACAATCATCTGCACAATTGCAGTGATGCCTGTAGATTACCTTGCAAATTTAATTTATGTAGAAATAAACTGTACATCTGTTACACGTGTCATTATAAAATGGGTAAATGTCAGATACCCCCAGAAAGTTCAATCAACAAGCTGACTGTTGATCCCATCCCACCTCAACTGGCATGTTTAAATACATTAGAGCAACATTTAATAGCGATGAATATACCATTCATGAAAATGTTGGCTCTGCCCAAAGGTGGTCAGAATGGGGTTCATGGCCCGATAGTTTGTGTTCCTGCAAATATAGTGGAAACGTGCAGTTTGTTACCACGTACCAACATGGAGGGGTCTTTATTACCTGTAAAGTTAAAGCGTAAATTGACATATAAAGGACACTATGATTATCAGTATGTCGACACACAGCATGTTCAGGGAGCTCTTCAGTATTTAAAACATCATAATTTGCATTACAAAGATGTAGAGTTCAATGAGGCTTGGATTAACACATTTACTCAGGAAGATGAGTCATCTGTTTTGGAAGAGAATTGTGGTTCAAGTAAAGATGAAGATACTTGCATAGATGGAGAAGATGAGTTATTGCATGACAGACAACAGCACTGTATGTTTCAGGACACCTGTCTCATGCCAGTAGATATAGGACAAGAAGCATTGGATCAGTATGTAGATAACATATTAAATGTAGCTCCAGGTGAAGGTAACAATCCAGTGAAATTGCTTTCTGATTTTACAAATGAAGCTAAATGTTTTCCTGTATTGTTTCCTTCAGGATCTAATACTTACTATGAAAGCAGACAGTTTCGTTTGACTCTGAATCGGTATTTCAACAACAGGCTTCTTCATGTTGATGGTCGATTTGCTAACAATGTAGAGTATATATTTTTTGCGCAGTACATGTCTGAACTAGAGCAGGTTGTGTCCAAAGTTTCTATAGCTTTGCGTAAAGGTAAAAGCGGTGAATCTCAGAAGTTGGGTAATTTGATACAGGATCAGGATTCTTTAAATAAGCTGTTAGAGTTTGATGATGGCTACCGGTTTCTTAAACCAATTCGCGGCACACCTGCTTTTTGGCAATCTGCACAGCGAGACCTCCTGGCCTGTGTAAAAATGTTGGGCAAACCTACTTGGTTCGCATCATTTTCGTCGGCAGATTTGAGGTGGACTAACCTTCTTTATAGTATTTTGAAACAGGAAGGCAGAACAGAGACAGTGGAACAGCTGGAGTGGGCTGATAAATGTGACCTCCTACGTAGGAATCCAGTAACTGCTGCCCGAATGTTTGATTTTAGATGGCATGTCTTCTTAAGGGAAGTGCTAATGTCTCCTGCCAATCCTATTGGTAAAATAGAAGATTATTATTATCGTGTTGAGTTCCAGCAGCGTGGTTCTCCTCACTGTCATTGCCTTTTCTGGGTTTCTGGTGCTCCCATTTTAGATAAAAACACAGATGAGGAGGTCACTGCATTTGTTGATGAATATGTCACATGTGAACTTCCTTCTGAAGACGATTCACTACATGAAGTTGTCTCATCTGTCCAGCAGCACTCCAAACGGCATTCAAAGACTTGTAGAAAGAAAAAAACTGTTTGTCGTTTTAATTTTCCACGACCCGCATCTGTTAGAACTTTTATTAGTCGCGGCGAAAAGTATCAAGATGCAGTGAAGACTTGCAAGTGTGATAAAACAGACAGCACTGTACAGTGTGCCTGTGCGTGTCAAGATAAAGCACGTAAACAGGAAATGGACAAAGAAGTAGCAAGTGCCATTTTAACTAAAGTAAAGACTGCTATTTCTAGTGAAGACTGTCCATATAACAGTGTAGAAGGTCTGTTTCAGGGCCTGGGTATCAGTCAGGAACTATTTGAGATGGCATATAAACGATTTAGTCGAAATACACATGTTGTTTTGAAAAGGGAAGTTAATGAAATCTGGATTAATCAGTATAGCAAGTTACTGTTAAAAGCTTGGAATGCTAATCTTGATATCCAGTATTGCGTCGATGCTTATGCGTGCTGTGTATACATAATATCTTACATGTCTAAAAGTGAACGGGAAATTGGCCTTCTGCTTGCTAATTCTCAAAGAGAAGCAGCTAAAGATGGTAATCTTAGTGCTAAAGAGGCCTTGAAGAGTCTTGGCAATGTTTATCTTCATAATCGGGATGTTTGTGCGCAGGAAGCAGTCTACAGGCTAACTAACATGCATCTTAAGGAGTGTTCTAGGAAAGTTGTGTTTGTTCCCACCGGTGATAATATAGTGAAAATGAGTTTGCCTATTTCTGTTTTGAGGCAAAAAGCTGCATCACAGGATCTTACTTCAGATGACATGTGGATGACCGGATTAGTTGATCGTTATAAGAACAGACCAAATGATGATGTGTTCAATGATATGTGCCTGGCTACGTTTGCATCAGAATATCGTGTTTTGAGTAAAAATGAAAAATGTAGAAATCCTATAAAGTTAAGTAATGATTTAGGATTTGTTACAAAAAGAACTCGGACTAAACCAGCGGTTGTTCGTTACGCGCGTTTCTCTGAAACCAAAGACTCAGAGAAATTTTTTCAAAGCATGTTGCAGTTGTTTTTACCGTACCGCCATGATAGTCAACTTAAGCTTAACTGTGAAACCTTTGAGGAATTTTACAGAACTGGTTTAATTAGATTTTTTGATAGAACAAACCACTCGGTAAAGGCTGTTGTAGATTTAAATCGGGGTAAATTTGAGTTAGAATCTGATCATTTGGATGCTGTGAATAATATAGTCGGTGATGTAATGTTAGAAGATGCATGGTGTGAGTTGTGTCCGGCAGTTGAAATGGAACGTTTGGAGTGTGTTGAAATACTGAAAGAATCAGAACCAACAGTAAGTGACGAGGCAGAAGTAATCCCAGATTTGGCTCCATGTTCAAACCAAACTGCACATTTAGAGAAGAGAAACACGATGAGTAGAGGTGAAGGTCTGGCATTGATTAGGTCTTTAAATGAAAAACAGTTTTCTGTTTTTAATCAAATCAGGCAGTGGTGTGTAGATAAAGTTAATGGTAATAACCCTGAACCGCTGCATGTTTTTGTTACAGGCGGGGCGGGCGTTGGGAAAAGTCATTTAATTCGAGCAATAGAGTATGAAACACAGAGATTACTGTCACCAAGCTGTAGACATCCTGATAATGCATGTGTAGTATTGGCAGCTCCTACTGGGATTGCAGCATATAATTTAGGTGCAACAACAATCCACACTACACTGTCTATAGGAAAGGATGTACGCTTACCGTACACTCCTCTGGGTGAAGAAAAACTAAATTCTTTACGTACGAAATATTGTGATTTGCAGCTTCTTATTATTGATGAAATATCAATGGTCGATCATAACCTGTTGTCCTATGTTCATGGTAGATTACGTCAAATTAAACAAACGGGTGATTTTTCACCTTTTGGAAATGTCAGTGTAGTGGCCGTTGGAGATTTCTTCCAGCTACCTCCTGTTAAAGGGAAGCCACTCTATTCTGATGGTGTAGGTAGCAACTTATGGTCAAGCCTATTTAAAGTTGTACAGTTAACTGAAGTCGTTAGACAGAAAGATGCTATGTTTTCTGGACTGCTAAATAGAATCAGAACTCATACAAAAGGTACACCATTGTTACCTGAGGATTTAAAGGTTTTAAAAACGTGTGAAACAGGTGAGGCAAGCTCAGCATTGCACATATTTGCAACAAATAATCAAGTAAATAATCACAACATTCATCAGTTATGTCACGTTTGTCCTGATTACATATCAATTACAGCCAAAGATTATGTTAATGATAAAAGAACAGGCAAACTGAAGTTGTTGGAAGGGAATCATGCCAGAGCTTCTAATACTAACTTGTCAGAAGTGTTACAGTTGGGTAAGGGTGCTCGTGTAATGTTGTGTAAAAATGTGGATCTCATTGACGGTTTGGTAAACGGAATTTGTGGTACTGTGACAGAAATGGTAATGTTAGAAAATGACACCTTTCCTAAAAAGGTTTATGTTCAGTTTGATGACCATCGTGTCGGCTTGCAGAGGAGGAAAACCTCCCAGTCTCTGTCATCAAATTTAGCTGGATCTACACCTATTGAACCCGAGGAGGAAAGAGCCACTGTTAAAGGTGGATTACGTCGACAATTTCCTCTTAAATTAGCTTGGGCGGTTACGGTTCATAAAGTTCAGGGACTCACTCTTGAAAATGCTGTTGTTAGTTTTAGGAAAATATTTGCACCAGGTCAAGCATATGTAGCACTTAGCCGTGTAACAAGTCTTTCAGGACTCACAATTCAGGACTTTGATGAAAAACGAATCTATTGTAAAGATGACATTACAGTTGCAGTTAACGATATGACCCCTTTTTTGACTCCAAACTCACAGTTCGACAGATTTAACTGTTCTGCATTCACTGTGTTTTTAATGAATGTCCAAAGTCTAAATCGACACGTTAAAGACTTGGCTTTCTGCACACAGCATTTGCAACCTAATTGCATTGCTGTCACAGAAACATGGGTATCTACAGACAGATCAGATGCAGTACAGATTGATGGCTATAGTTTTTACAACTGCCCACGAGTTTTAGCTTATTCTAGTACCCATGAGTCTTTGATTGCTTTTCAAGAACAACAACATGGTGGTGTTGGCTTTTATACTGCAGATGGTGTGGCATTTAAAATGTTGCAAGCTCCAGACGTCAACTTGGAGAGTTTAGTGTATAGCTTTGTTAACTTACACATAGTACTTGGACTCATTTATCGACCTCCTTTGTATCCCCTTTCTTTGTTTAAAGTAAATTTAACAAATTTGCTTGATTGGCTGGAGGTACAAAGTGAGACATTAGTACTAATGGGAGATTTTAATGATGACATTTTAAAATCATCAACAATATTAAAACTTTTGACTGACAGAGGCTATGCCCAAATAGTCAAACAGCCAACAACCGAAAAAGGCACTTTAATAGATCATGTCTATGTAAAATCCAACAAGTATATAACAGAAGCATCTGTTATTCCAACATATTTTAGTGATCATCAGGGCATCATGTGCGATTTTACACGGCTTTAGTTTACCTCAAAAACCAGATTTGATTTGATCAACACCTGACTGCAGAATTTGTAATGTAAAGAGGTGTGTGTGTGTGTGTGTGTGTGTGTGTGTGTGTGTGTGTGTGTGTGTGTGTGTGTGTGTGTGTGTGTGTGTGTGTGTGTGTGTGTGTGATCTATTTTAGCTTTACTTTTACTAATATTACCTTTCCTTACATGAGCTATCTCTACTGAGAGCAAAGTCAATTTCGTAGTACACCTATGCAATGACAATAGAACTTATATATATATTGTCCATATAGTCTGTCAGAACTTTTCTATATGAAATATATTGGATGTATTGTTTTTAAGCAGTGTACATGTTACGATGCCGTTGAGGGGTTGTGCATACTCAGGGCAACTCCGCTGCCCCGTTCCATGTGTGAGAGCAGGGGTTGCAGGACAATGTGCGCACAGGAGTGTAGCAAGATTTTTAAACTGTGGGTGTTGAAATTTCTCTGATGCATATAGGTGAGAAGTGTTACATTCGCAAACTATTTCGCTGTCATGAGAGCAACGAAGGGGGTAGTAAAGCGCGGAACGTTTTGGTGTCGTGCATTTGTCATGGCACTAGAATTTTGGGTGTGGTGCAGCACCACGCCTATGTAGGAAAAACCACTAACTGCAGCTGTATGCTTCACCATTTCTGTGATTTCTTCAATTTTCATGTCCCCTACTGACCTAGTCAAAATAACATTGAGCCATTTCCCACCTTCTCTCAGCTCTAGAATGCTCTTTCCCCTTGTCCTCTGAATTAATCTCTCACCCACTTTTTAATCAAAACTAAAAACATATCTGTCCAGATCAGGAATTAATACACTAATTTTATTGTTTTAATGTTTGTGAATGTGTGTGTGTGTGTGTGTGTGTTTCATCTTCTTTGTTGCAAAATGTCTAGAATGTATTGGAAAGCTTTTAAACATATATTTTTTTACATCAAAATTAAATGTGTTTAAAAGCTTTCTAAAGGTTTCGTTTCCTGCATTAAGATGGCATTTATTGAAATTAAACTGAAAACCTTTAGTACAATTGGCTTCTCATTCATCACTATTGAGTGATGTAACAATTAAACACCAAATTATGCATAATGTTAAAAGTTAAACTGGTGAATTACATGCTGTTTTAATGCAGGGTTTGCTTTACCTGGTAAAATGCACAAAAAAGCAAAGGCAATGGTCTGGTCTCCCACTTGTGGGACAGGGTTCAAATCCCTGTGTTGCCCTGCTAATTGTGTTGATTACTGGAAAAACTATTATTCAAAAAGGCAAAAAACAATAAAAATTAAGTTTAAAATTTTACTTGCTGCAATTCACCCTAGAACTAAACACACATTTTGATTTCAAGGACAACTGATAAGGCTGTGTCTCAATTCAGGGTCTGCATCCTTCGAAGGACCCTGCCCACCCTGCCGACATGGGCTGGGTCCTCCGTCGGCCGGGTAGACCGGATGTTAACGGCTGTGAATTTGGACAGGCCTAGCCTTCATGAATTCCCGCCCCTCCCTCGGCGAACGTTCCGTCGCCAAGCAACCATGGAACCGCTGAGCAGAAGGGAGAAGGAACTTTAAACGATGGAGCTCGAAGTTTTATTTAGATCTTTAATCATTTCCTTGACTGTTGGAGAGCTAATTCACAGAAAATACTTTCGACAAGCTGAGCCTGAGCAAAGATGTGATAATAGTTTAATACTTTCTAAGGGTCTTAATTTGACCAAAACCGATTTATCACCTTTTAAGACTTTAAGACCCAGTGGATACCCTCTAGTAAACAATTCTCATTTGTAAACCAAAATAAAATTCAAGAGTTTAATGCAGAACTGATTTTATTTAGATATTTATTTTTATATGTACATGTTTAATCTTTCTTAACCATTTTTTCTAGCAAAGTAAAAAGCTGTCAAAGTTCTCCCTTCTCTCCTGTGCCCTCTGCTGCTCTGCCTCCCTCTGCAGGCTCATGTCCTCCCTGATCAGCTCCAGGAGCTGGTCATCGCTGTCACCTTCCCCTGGATGCCCATTTTTTCAAGAATAGTCTGAACAAACATGCAAGAAAAAAAAAACAGGAAGAGAAAAGAGGACAACGGGTTATTCCTTTCATGTTTTCGCAGAAAAAACTAAACTCAAACGAGTTTTTAAAAATGAGATGTTATTGTACCTCCATGCCACAGCCGCCGAATACTTTGCTCTGGTGAACATGTGGTCCATCTCCACCCTAAGCTTAATAAAGTCCCCTGTTTTCTCTTTTGTCCCTAAAATACAAACTTCTATTAAAATCAGGGGGAAAACGTAGCGGGAGAAGTACGACATCGAGCGACCGAACATACGAGCCGAGACCGCAATACAAGCACTTTTACTGTAACATTTCAAACTAAAATAACGTTCATGTATCACAAAAACTCCTTAACCTAACAGTTTTCAAGTTTATACTTACATTTATATGCGCAATCCTCTCCAACAGCTCCCGCTTCACTGTCCGCCATTGTTTTTAAGTTTTTCTGCCGGCCGGCCCGCAAGGTATCTTGGGAAATGCTACCTGTTGAAGGATACACGGGACCCATCCTTCATTCAGGCGAAAAGAAGGCCGGATTCGTCAACCGCATTTGAAGGAGTCTTCGAATTGGGACATGCCTAGTCGCGGCGCTGTGACATAACCGGCCAACGAATCTGGCCGAGGTAGGATGCAGACCCTGAATTGAGACACAGCCAAGATCACACCCATGGGCATTTATAGCCTGCTTTTGGGGGTGCTGAAGTACCCCTAAATTCATCTCTAGCACCCCTAACATTTAACATTTATTTATCTATTTTTACAATTTATGGTGATTTTTAACACATTACTAATATCTAAAAACAATAGGTCAAAACATTGTTTTACAAACAATAATATAGCAAATCTCCCCTGTCTCAAAAATGGTTTGATTCTGCTTACCTTTCCAGCCTCTACTCTGAGCCTTCCTGAGTGGCTGACATGCTGCCAATAGGGACCTCGTTCCTTTCTGTGGGACAGTCCTGAATTTACATTATTTTTCACAGGTCTTTGAATCTTGCATAAACTGATTGTGAGGCAAAAACAGCAGCTGTCAATCAAACTAGGAGATGGGACTTCAATGCAGGTCTGGAGTGCATGCCACTCATGAACCTCTATACCAAATAGTAACGTCAGAGTGGTCCAGGACTCATGGGAGATGTGACTGGAAGAGTGAAAAGATGTGCAGCAAGCATTTTATTTGTGGACGAAAATGACAGGAAACGTGGGTTTAGAGGTGGCAAGTGCATGGAGGAGAATGAGAGACAAATTTGTATGTGTTAAAAAGTCTCCTATATACAAAAAAACAATATAAACACATTATCTTGGACCGAATACATGACAGAATACCACAGAACGACGCTACGCCCTCTGTAGTCCTGCCAGGGAATTGCTTTGCAACACTCCCCAGGAGACAGAAGTATGAGAGCAAAACGCTTCTGTCAATCCGTGCGTGTCTGTCCCTTGCGGAGCTGATGGAGAAGAAAGAATCAGGCTTTAGTTTAGGACACTTTATGTTACTGATACAGATATTTTTAAACTTGGATTATTCTGAAATGTTTATCCATCCAGCTGCTACAACACAGCTAGCATCTGCAGAGGCATCAGCTTCTTTCATCCTGCTCCTGGCAGCCTCTGCCACCCTACACCAGGTACAGAACTGTCTTATTACATGTGCAAATGTGCAATCTCTGGTTATTAAAATGATTTAATTCTAAAATATTTCATCCTTCAGCATCTACACTGCACCTACTACCTACTAGCAGCTCTGCCACCCCAAACCTGGTATACACATCTCATCCCATAGATTTAGAATATAGTGTATTATGACTCTTGTGTGTTAATTCGAACTCCACCCTCCATTCGAAACAGAAACGATGCAAAAATCAAGCAAGGGGCATAGCTCACCAAGCGCCCACGGCTCGTTAGTTTCATAGGAAACAACAAAAGTCCCTGCTTCAGAGTAGGAGCTAAAACAGTTCTAGGAACTACAGGAAAAAACTTCCTAGTTCCCATCTGCTCAAACACATCACAAGCCAAATATAATTCCATTCTGACCTTGTCTTTAGAAGTTAATAAAGTTTGAACCCATCTAGGGTCCGCTGTGACCATTTACAACTAAATCCCATAGAGGTAATCTTTGGTCATCAAAGATTGTTTTCTGTTAATTTGGCATCAATCAAACGTTGCATGGGTCATCTAAAGACAAAAAGCTGTAAGTGCATGGAGTTAAAGTGAATTGAACAAGTGAACACATACATGTGTTTATTGCAGTTGTGTGATGACTCCCACAAAGTTAGATATAGTTTGGAGCTTTTTTGCAGAAGTTACAAAGGATTTTTGTATCTAGGGGCGCTGTCCCAAAATTAGGAATTATTCCATGAAGAAGTTTGTAGGTTGATGAAAGTCATTTGTGTGCAGTTTGGTGTGAATTGCATCATGCAAGTGTTACTCAGGGCCTAATAAATGTCATGGGGAGGAGCTAAAGCAATATCAACCAATTACTACATGATTGTGTTGGGTGCCTTTGTGTGATGACACATAGCAAGTTTGGTGCAGTTACGACCTCGTCTGTAGGAGTTATTACAGTTTTAATGGTGTGTAGGGGGCGCTGTGGTGACATTATACAAATCTCACCAACCGTTTGTGTCTCATTGGATAAAGGGCATGATTGTTGATCGCCATGTTCAGTCTCGTGCAGATGGGAGGCTGTTTGTGGAAGTTACGATCAAACGTAAGGTCACGGCGTCACGCCAGAATTCGCCATGGCATCAAAGCCCCTCCCTATCTGGAAAGCTATCAGATCTGAATGGTCATTACAGCATCATGAAGACAGTGCATGACCTTAGTGTCATGTTGACTAAATTAGAGGGGACAACTATGGGCATTTGACCATAAAACTATAGACTTCCTGTAGTCAGGGGGCGGGGTTTAGGTGATGTCAGCTGTCCACATTGTCACTGTCTTCAGATGTGGTCAGTGATCACACAGACAAAGTTTGAAATAGCTCTGATCATGCACATGGGAATTATTAAGTCAAGTAACGTAATGGCGAAAGGTCAAAGTTTGAGGCTTAGCCA